GTCCGTCAGCAGGCCTTGCTTCTCTTCTAGCGTCTGGACCCGCTTTTCAAGTTCCTTACAGCCGACACAGCGACCGAAAAGCGCAGAATCCGTCCCGTCTGTCATACAGTTTTCGAGGCCTCTTGGCAGTGCATCGGTTCTTATTTCCTGTCTTATCTCTTCGAGCCTATTGTGCGTAATCTCCCTGGAGTCTAATGATTCCAGCGGCATTTAACATTAGCCGACTTAACCCGCTTACTTCATTTGGGATCGAAATCCGGAGGATGTCTGAAAAGGCATAGTCTGTCCAGTGTACTTGGCGGCGTAGTGGCCTCATAAGGCCGTTTATTGAGCAGACAATGTGGCGTTTTATATGAGAGTGGCGTGCACCGATCGATCCTTTCCGCAGGATGCAAGTGAGTCTTTTCTGTAGGTTTTTGGGGCTAAGGATAGAGAGCACACGAGTGCAATCGTATGGCGGTTATCAGTGAATAATTGTTAAATGTTTACCTGAATATATTACTAGCTATTAGTATTATAATATATAGAAGCACGTAAATGAACATTGTTGGTCTATTTACCGTCAGCATTCAGGGCTGCACACCCAAAACTTGGCGGATTCAGCTGAGCATCAGCCATTTTTATCAGCACTTAACCAACGATCTCGTATTATATCATTTGAGGTCGGGGGTATTCATCACATGAAAGCGGCAGGCGCCGAACCATCCTGGCTGCAGGACGAAAATAGGGATTTTCTCCTTGCTTTTGTGCTGCGGGTTTGCAGCCCATGCAGGCAATCACATATGGACCTAAATCATCCTGCAAACATAGTTATGCGTTCATTTTCTTAGAAAAAAACTTTTAGAAAGTCTCGAGTGAGTATATGAGGTCGAAATAGGCGTTTTTCTCTGCTTGTCATCAAGCCTTTGAACGGGCTATCGCGGGAAGTCATTTTAGTCCCTACATACAGTCAAGCTTTTCCATGGGATCATGGATTATGGTAGAGTTGAGAAATATCTATCAGCTGAATTCTCAGTCTTAGCTGTTTGCATGTCGACGATAGAGCACACTTACGTAGTACTTTTTCTACATCGGGGACTTGTTGCCACTTTTAAACAGACAAGAGTCACCTGTTCACCCTCGTGTCCCATCTCTATTTTCGCCACTTTTCTTCGTTCCAATCTCACTTCTTTACTGTTTAAACGCATATGCGCCCTTTCTACCGTTTCTAGCCGCTGATAACCGTCTATCCAGCCGTCATGTCCCCGATCACTCCTAGATTTACGACGAGCACTCCGATGTTTAACTCCCGTAGCGATAGAATTCTGGCATAATGCCGACCTTCTTCCGCCATATCCGTACACGTTCAAAACTATCCACATTAACTGAGATTATATAAATCATCTCGCGCCTAAGGCCCCTACTGTATTAGCAATTTCATATTAAGGCGACTGCGACTCGCTGTGGATAAGTCGCGATAGATAGGACTGATCCATAGCGGATTTTGTCAAAAAGGTTGCCATCGAGGCGACAGCGAAAAGTCGCGGTAAGACGCTATGGGACGGCAGCACTGGATATGATTCTTCTTAGCCAGTATGCCTTTTATAACCAACGTGGTTTATCAATTGACATACAATGTTTCCCCCAAAGTAAATTCAGGTCAAGCTTGGTTTGCCATTTGCGTTGGAGAAATGCTTTGTAAAAAATATGATACAGAAAGTGAATGTTCTTAGATCTCACCCCGTTGGTAGTAACATTAACCATCACTATCTCCAGTAGTGAATCATAAATGTCCATACGGCCTCCTTTGTTCTACACAGCCTACACCTCAATTTAGCAGAATAAGACGTGCAAATGCGATAACGTACCTTTATTATCTCGTATATCTGTAATTCACACAAGCCCTCCTTATTTGCCAGTAAAATTTATGTGCTCGGTGACCTCAACATCAAGGAGAGCATGGATATATTTAAAACCGCACAGCAAGAGTGGGGGTTAGTGACTGTGCCTGCAACTGCGTTCACGTCGTCCTTTGATGCTTATAAACCATCAATTCAGGTGTGTGTGGCTGCAGGGTTTACGAGCACTGCCCATATTGAGGCTGGGGTCTAGTGGTAGACAGCTGTCGCCTGTAATCATCTATCTATTATTTCCATTATGACGTGCAACTGGCCATGTGGAAAATAAACGTACTTAGAGAAAGAGATGGGATGGTTTGCACAGACGCTAGTACTTGAAATGTCGGCTGTGTCGACCTTTAAGGTTGAAGAATTCGTAAGAAAAAGGAATTAATCACTGACCTTAATGAACTCGGTTTACACTATCAAAACGTCCAGCGTTGTCACGCGGGGTGTTCTTCACGCCTACTATCTTCTCACCGAGACTACTGACGTGTCCACTCGGAATCGTGCGCCGAGCATACACGTGACTTGCTCACGCCCCTCGACCTTTTCGGGAAGTAGGCCCAAATTGTGCTTACACAGAAGCCTACCCTGTTGACCAAGGTGCGTGCAGCCTCCTCGCATGCCCAAAGTTGGCTTTATTGCACGCGTATGAGAGGGTAAGGCTCTTTTGGGCGAAGGGTGTCTGAATCCGCGATTAGACCTGTCATTTTCCAACCAAGCATTTCTTTCCACCGACCAGTTAACGCCGTCCCGCCCTGGTCCGGAGAACAGTAACGTTTATTACTTTATGTTCGTCAGGGCCTGTTATTTTGATTGCGCCTTCACGCGGTCTGTTCGGACAGGAGCGTTCCAATTAGACAAGCGCCCCTAACTTATTTTCAAGCTCTGTCTAAGAGCCTGTAGACCTGTCAGCTGCATCCGAGTCTCTGCGCATGAGGGGCCACGAGACGTATTTTTGTCTTGTCTCTTACCCTCAGTCATGCAGCCGATGCAACACTTTGACAGGTTACGTCTATCGGAGCGCCAAGATCAGTTTTTCGTTGTAATGGGTCATGATTTTGCCTATTACATTAGTGTACGTGGATATTCTTTGTAAGAAGTTCGCTTTGCCTCTAGCAGTGCAAATATTGAAAACCGAAAGTTAGCTGTGAAACGGCATCATAAGAAGGCACAGTTTTTTCCTATAGGAAAGTGGCTACCGATGTGTGATAGCAGAAATTGTTGCCCATTAAGGCTTTGGATGGATAATGCACTTTTTGGAAGTTTCCGATCGAGCTAAGGCAGTCTACTGTAGTCAAATATCTGTACATTGCAGACTGCAGACAGTGTAACTGCTGTGTGGGAATGGCAGTTGGCTGCCGGTGTCATTCACTTATGACAAATGGAGGTCAAACGCTAGCGCCTTTCCGAATAATACAGTGTCCATCCTTAGTTTGTGTTTTGAATATGAACCGTCCTTGCGTTTCCAGAACTTCCTATCGAGGAAAATAAACGCTCTATGAACGCTGTTTATGCCTTTTACCTATCTCAAGGTATTACGTACCGACGCCATCTTCCGATTCATGTTAATATCGGTCAGGTCAAGAGTATGCAGAGGGCAATAAGGCCAACAGTGTCAAATTTCTGGGAATGGAAACCTGTCCGAATTACAGTTAGAGGGAACCTGACCTTGGGTAGTAGGATGAGGGTTACTCTGTTAAGGAGGCAGTGGGCCTTGGAATCGACTAAATTATTACACCTGATTACTGTAATAGACGTATTCGCTTCCATTCGTACATAAAGTATCTTTCCAAATAAACCGTATCACTAAAGAAGCCTGTCGTTGTGTATGTTGTAGACGCCTGTGCATGTAATGTGCAAAAAGAGTTGTTAATTTATGCTCTCTGGTCACTTGGCTGCCTTCTACGTAGTACCTTTAAAATGTACAGCCTGAAAATAACATGTTCAAGCTCGCCTTGGTAGACAAGACGAAATTAGATGCTCAAATTACCGTGTGACATGGCCGTGAACCCTTCCTCGCTCTTTAGTGAGGTTGGATGCAGTTGACTGCCGGGCTAGAGTGGCCGAGAGTCATTGGGTCGTTGCTTACGGACCATTGTAGTCACGGCTGCATCTGTGTTACCTCATTTCTCCGCAATCCACTACTGCAGATCGCCAATCGATCTTGCACACCTGTGTCTCAGTCAGCGAAGACCTCAGAACGAATGAGGGCCTTAGCCTTCCTGACCAGTCTGTAGGCTTTAGTTTATATTAATATATTCTTTGAACTGCTTTTTTGAAGATTTTCCTCGACTTATCGAGGGCTGCCTTAGTGGTTTTTCCTAACACTCTTTTGAGTGGGCAATCAATTTCATGTTAAATGCAGCAGATGTTAACTCGATGAAATTCGCCGTTCAAAATCAAGAGAAAGGTCCTTACGGCCGGAGGGAGGTAGTATCGCTGTGCCTGTTTGACCGGGTGTTACTATCAGCGCCTCGGGGTCCGGCACAGCTGCCTGATCGCCCAGTGCGCTGCTCTTCGAGCAAACAGGCGACATAGCTGGTAATAAATATGGGAGATTGTAGGACCCCCACCAACCTGGAAATTTATAACTGTAAAAAGCTGGTAGGCATGTTTGCAACGGTTAGGCTCTTATTCATTTTGTTGATTTAGCTCTCTTGAGCTCGGCAACATGCCATATACAAAATAAGTCTTGCAGTTGTACCACCCAAGATGAAAGTTCTAAGTCTTCATCTTCATTTAACTACATAACAAATGGACATTTTCTGCACCACAGCATCACTTCCGAAGAAGGTATAAATGGAATAAATCGATGCCCTCGTCAGGCTCACCCTGAAGGCTTCTTTGTCCGATTTAACCAAGCTTCGGTGTGATATATTTCGTGTTCTCTGGTCGATTCAGGATCCGGACATCTGGGTTCTCCCCCCTCCCGAAGTCGGCTTGACCAGGTTTTTCGATTGTATAGACTTCTATCCAACTATAGATAGAGTTCATTTTCTCCTATCGCGGATACTTAATAATTGAGTAAAATTCCTCTTGTTATTCTACCTTTGCCTCCACAGCGCGGAACATCGACTTTATTTTTCGAGGACGAAGAGATCCCTCTAGTTCCCCTTCATGTCCCGTTTTCTCTTCTACCCGCACGTCCGTGGTGCAATCTCGAGGCTACCAGAGCACTACAAAAGGCGCTATTTAAGGAGTCGTCTGCCATCAGCCATTAAGTACATCCAAGGGCCCGAAGAACCGTGGAAACGCGCAGCTTCAGATAATGCGCTGTAAGTTTTTGTATTCTTTCATTAGCACATCTTCGAATTCCTCATCCTCTCTAGTTATTCCTCCGAAGCTTTCGAAGTTGCGCCCGATGTGTTGTTTCCCGAGGAGTCGCAGCGAGCCCTGTGGGGTGGAGAGGGTATCGTCAGGGGCTTTATCGAACTGAAACGCACACACACACGGTAATGTCCCCATTCGGTTTACCTACACCTCTTCAGTTGTCCAAAGACGTGGGGGCCTGACCTGAGGCAACACCTATTCTACAGTGAAATACTTGACCGATGGATGATCATTTTAGTATCAGTAACTGCACTGAAGCAGATTGAAAATCTAAAGGGAATCGATAATTATATTCTAGAGGTACTGTCTGTTTTTGCACATGTTAAATATTTAACGCCAAGTCTAGACTCCAGAAAATAAACTGTGCAGCCGTCTGGCAATGTATCTCAAGAGAGAGATGCTTCGAAAAATTTCATCGGACGAGTTCCGGCGAGAGCATCCCGATTTGTTTACAAAATACAGCAATTTTGCCATACCGGTAGGTCTCAGTGTTTCCAGCACAGTAAAGAGCCAGCCGGTTTAGATGTCCGCTTTGTGTTTTCCATACTATTGTTTCGGTTTTTTTATTGTAGTTCACACTAAAATTATGTAGCTGCTCAGTTAAACGTCAGCCTGTGTGTTAAATTTGTTCACGTGTCTCATTGGTTGACGAGGGGTCTGCTCTACAGCAAAACATCAACCGGTGGAACTTGTTGCGTTAGCAGAGCTTCATCGTCCTGGAAGTCTTCGACCTCATGCCGCACCCTCCACCTCTATGTACATAACACACTTAGGAGACTGGAGTCACGATTTTTGCCTAATGTGCCATTGTTAGCCAGCTACGCCCAGCCCCGGGCCTGGCAGACCTGGGCCTATTGATTACTGTATAACACTCCACCACTGGACCATGGACCTACGTCATTTATCTACATAGCTCATACGTCGTGCTCACGTCCAACAACACAGGTCTCTCGAAGCTAACCTTGATTGTTGCTTCTTCCATGAAATCGAAGTGAACGGTGACTTAGCATGCGTTTCATGTAAGCAACCGCAGCTTTCGTTTTCTTCTCATCCTTCCCCCTCTGTTCTCCATTGTCCGTATACTCCTCCTTTTCTTCCTCCCCGTCCTCCTCATCCTCCCACTAGCTCGTTGTTTTGAAGATTAATGAAGGCTCATCGTCTATCGCCTCCTCTTTCGCCACCCTTATCTTTTCTTTTTCCTCTTACCCACGCTTGAGCCTTCGATTCGCCATGTCTCTCCCACTCATGCATTTTTTCCGTTCCCTATCCTTTTTTGTCGTCTTGCCTTCTGTTCGCTTTATCTCGATTGTTCCTATTCGGTTTGGCTGGAAACATTTAGCCGGAAGAAGCTGAATGGGTCGGTCTGTCACTCGACGAGGCTATCAAGAAACAACTGAAACTGGAGCACGAGCAGGCACGTATAGAAGCAGAGACGCCCAAGAAATACGTCTTTGCCGAAACTCTGCTTGAGCAATTAGACCGGTCCGCCGAATCCGGCAGCGAAGGTAGGCACCACTTTTCCATCCTCATTTTCGTATTCTTCAAGGGACGTTTTCTTCTAAAAGGATGTAAGATGGGTTTCTGCACAGTTTTCTCTGCTTACGATTTCCTGCAGTTATCGGGGCCCTTCTCGAACTTACTTCATCATCACCATTGCCACCAACCTCATCGTCAACTTCACTGACGTAGTTTTCTTTGTGCTTTTCGAAAGCATGCACCAATTAGCAATTTCAGCAAGCATAATTTGACTCGGGACCATTTATTAAATCAAACACGTAAGGCCATGGTTATCTATACGAAATTAGTCCCCATTAATCTCCCTGGTACGATTTCATACGTGGTCGGTCGACCAGATATTCGGTCTTCAATCGTCGATTTATGCATAGACCACGCACGGATTTGGGTAATTCCGGCTTAAGGTATGGAAGAGAAGATTTTGGTGTTTACATAAAGAACTATCTAATTCCACAGAGTTTATTCGACACAAACGTCCCCAACTTCCTCCTGACTCACACTTCTTGTTAAGTCAATCATCCCATTTTAATCTGCGGGCATTCCAAGTTTGTGTTTTAAATTGTGGCCTTATCACAGGGGCGGATCCAACCATATACTGAACCACAGAGATTTCGAACTCCTAGTCGTTATTTTTTTATTCGATCTAGCTCATGAGCATATACGTTTGTTTTCAGTATTCGATTGACGTTCTAAAAACTTCGTGTTTGAGCATGAAAAGAGTCTGATGTGCACCAGGCCTATAGTATCCTCGGACATTTGGGGCATGGTATCCGAAACGCAGGTAAAGCATTAAAACCCCCAGAAAGCCTCCTTGTTTTCCTTAGGTGAATAAAAAAGCCGGTTGCTATGTGCATGTATTGGTCCAAGGCGGCCAGTCCCCGGAGTTTTCCCCATCACGAATCCAGAGCCGCATTTGCTTAAGATGGTGTACACTGGTGCAATTTCCTGTCTATCAAGGACATCCACTGATACGAAAGTTTCTTTTTCTGTTCCTCTCCTAAACCAACATGTCATAGGATGCTAATGCATGCGAGATTGATTCATGGTGATGCAGCTGCATCCGTTCCATTGTCTGAGTCTTTGACAGTCGATAAGCGTTCCTACTTTTAAAATGTTCAGAAGGACAACTACGCCTGTTTCGCCCTTGTCCTAATCTCCTCCATAAGCTGCGCATGTTATTAGTCGTCGGTCTTTATTCTTCCTTTCCAGACATTACCGACGGGCCGGCTCAAAAACCAGGACTGGCGTCTTCTATAAGACGGTCAGTCGGTCGTTTCCTCTACGGTTCAAAGTCCACAAAAGCCTAAGGCCCACCTCTTTACGAATTTCTCGACTAATGCTCTGTAAAGTTGTCTATAGTGTATTTGACTTTTTTTGTCAACGAAGGTTTTTGATCCAATTTGTCACTTTTGTCCCACGTTCACCGGGGTGCGGTCGTCAGTGGTTGAATGAGTCACTCCAGATTCCCGGCTGTATGGGGTTCTTCATCCTTCCTTGAGCTCAGCTCTCATCTGGCCCCGCGAAACTAGTACACACAGGGGCTGTGCCCCTTGTTTCATCCATTGGAATAGACCAGGCAAGGATAATCCAATTAACCTGCGTTCTCGCTGTATATGGGCATCAAGCGGGATTCTTTTTTGGAGAGGAATCAGTACGTTGGCACGGACACATAGTCCGCTCCGTCACTGTCCCCAGGCTCATCCTCAACCATCTTCGCCTGGTTTTGTTATCCGGAAATATCTGCTTCGGGGTTGGAGCTTTGTTTTCTGTCCCAACCAATCACATTCGCCCACGCCTAATCTTCGTTTTCGTGGATCCGCTTACCTCCACGAGAACCGTTAAGTCCTGCGGCGATGAATGAAGCAGCGGTGACCCGGACTAATTCCGGCCGTTTTCCCACTGACAAACCTCAGAGGGTTCCGGCGACTGTTTTGGGTACTTAAGTAGCATTATTCGAGAAAGTTCGATTTACCTGCCTTGGTAAATTGCCGGTGGTTGTTGGGACTCCACTTCCTTACCGTTGAAACACGATTAATGTAAGCAGCCAACCCGCTTCTCTCAGTGAATTCACTCACTTTAAGTCTAGAAAGCGCTCTTCTTCCTGCATATTTCCACAATCAATCGTCCATGTGTCGCCATGTGGTAAGGACAGCGTTGCCCCAGGCGAAAACCGTATCTGGATCCAGTGCAAAATACTTGGGGCTGGAAGCGGCCGTACCGTTATCTGTGGATGGCTGTCGACTAGAAGAACGAGTGCGTTTGGCTGTCAGTAGGGACCCGTCAAAACGTTGAAAGTCACCCAGAAAGCAGCCACTGACCTCATTGTTCCGGAGCTGTTGCTCCGGGAAAGATTTGGTTACAGTCGTTGGGCGAATAGAGACAATGGGACTATTGAGTTAGTCAGCTCTACGCTTCCAGCAAAATACTGGCCACCAAAGGTCGACAGAAAATGCGAGAGAATCGGCATGGAAAAAGGCGATGCGATTGTCCGATTTGATTAGGTTACATGACGCTCACACGGGCAGTAATTATGTAGTCAACATCGACAAAAAATTTACTTCACGTTTGAGAGGACAGAACATTAGTAAGAGGGGACTCAACTCAAGCTGAGCTAAGGACGTACAAGCTAATCGTAACAAAAGAATTATTGCAAAGTATGGTTCAGACTGCGAGCACACGTCCGAACCTCGGGATACGCCTCATTGTTCTCCGGGGGAGGAGTGAGAATCATGTTCGTTGTCTAAAACATTTAATCAATTAGTAGCTCGAAACTTCACGTTAGAGTCTCTAAATGTGCAGCGAAATCGTAAGTGCGGTGGCTTCCTCCCTGTTTACTTGGTCAAAAATAACATTTGGTTTTTAATCCTATTTTGTCGATCAAAACACAGATCTGGAGTATGGGACTGCGTGCTCTTTTCGGAATTTAAGAATGAAAAGTCAAGTTGGCGAACGCACGTTTTCGGTAATTATTCCTCAGGCCAATACAATTACATGAACGAAAGAAAATGTACAAAATCAACAGTGTTTATAGATGCCTTAAGGGCTATTAAGTCACTAGCACTCATCATCCCCACGCCGCCCGCATGAAAGGTCGGTGGGTGTTAGTCGTCAGAGCTAGGGGAGGGGGGGGTAAGAGAGTCTTTGAGTAATGTTCTTGGGTTGAGTACACGGAGTACCCATCATCGTGATTAGGGATTTGAGGCGGCATGGCTTCATCACTTGGGGTTGGCGTTGGCCACGGCAGCGAAAGCGCTTGTGTCAGAGTTTTCTGACAGCATAACATCGGATTCACTAACCGTATCGCTACTGCCTCGGATTACAACCAAATCCGCGGCATGGTCCTTTTTTTGGACAAGGCACAGTTTAGTGGCGTGACGAATCTCTATCCATGTTTGTGGTTATACTGACGTTACGAGTTGTTAGATTTATAATAGCGTTTTACTAGAACAATACTTCTGGAACAAATACGGTGATATCATTTAATAGATAAAACTTTCATGAGCAAAAAGATACGTAAAGGACAGATTATCGCGCTCGTTTTTAACTAAGTTTCCAACAACGCACAGGTCTTTATGACTGCTTATTTACATGTTCATTATTTTGGAGTATGTATCCGGATTAAAGTAAAAGGCTACGAGTCGACGTGTTCCCCGGATTTATTTCCAGAACGTTGTTCCTGTCATAGGAAATAGACATATTTAACATTTTTCAGAGCCGGAACATTGAAGAAAGTTTAAATCCATGAAAAATGCGTCGGCTGATCTACTTAGTGACTTTTTCTGAGAATACAGTAAAGTGCAAGTCTTACCTGTTTCGGCAGTCCGGTGAGGTCCAAAGACGTATTCAATACACTTTTTCGCACCCTCTTCTGTTGTGCTTGCGAAGACCGCATTTGCTATTATATTACTTCCATAAATGGCCCTTAGACTAAGGAAACAGAAAAAACGAGCTCAGACATGTAACGAGAATCACACAAGCGCGTTCGCGGTCTGTGCACCTTTACCTCACCAAGCGAAGCTCCCAACACTCGTTTGAATATGCAAACGATCATACAATCATTTCAGGCTACCTTTTTCGATCAAAAAGTTCATGCTTTAAGCTAAGACTTGGCCACAAACGGCCTTTTTTCCAAAGTAGAATTAGCCAAGTTAGCCTGCTCGAAATCAGTAAATTCACTCTGAGAGAGTAGTCACAATGGAAGCAACAAACACGAACATTAGTTTTTCATGTACGGGCTGCCAAAGTTCCGTTTTTCCCATGTTTCTCTCTTTTAAGTTTCACTAATACCAGTCATAGGCTCATGGTGGTTCTTCCCCAATACGGCACGGGTGCTCTTATGTGCTTACTTCACAGCCAGTGCTCACTTTGAAGTGAACAATAAGGTTTCCCAGAGCCCTGATATGAAGGTCCCGTGCGCGTTGGCTCCCGTCAGTGACAAACGCATTCGCTAATTTTGAATTCGTGTACCCAATCCTGCGTGTTTCGGATGAACCCGACCTAACAGGTATTCTCACAAGGCCTAACGTGAAGTGCTGTTTCGCCTTTTTTGATTCATTGATGTTATTTTCACTTTTCGGCACCATTTTTATCCTTAGGGCTTTAATGGTGAAGTGACATTTTTTAGCCAAACTGGTTGTGTATGTATAAAAACCTCTGCTAGGTACACCGTAGACCGCAGAAGTGCGCGATCAAGAGCCGACAGCTTCCGTCCCAATGCGCCTGTTCGTCCTGATCGTCCGCTTTGCTGAGAACTCTTACGGTCACTATGGGGGCCTGGTGCGTCCGCCCGTCCTAGGTGCCCATACTGACTAATAAAATTAACCCTTGACGTGGACCGGAAGTCGTATTTACAGTTATCTATTACATACGCGCCCACTCACCTCAGTTTAAACATCAGCCAACCTGATGAAGTCACACGGCGGATCCGTCCCATGGTGCTACTTACTGAGACTGCATGGCTTCCCTTCTATACGGGATGACAGCCTTTTGTTGTTGGCTTTTTACCAAAGTGGACTTTGCTTGGGGCCGTAGTGCTTAAGGCACAACTTCGACTGCTGCGACACGGTAACATACCTGTTAGGATGGTACTCGGAGGAGACTGGCTTGAAGACGGAGGGCGGTCGCTTAATGATTAATACAGGCCTTCATTTAGTCCGCCTCGATGCTCTTCATATCCGAACCTTAAACCACTCGTCTGTTTTGTATCGTATGCAGTGTAACATGTCAGCGCGCGTAATCTTGCAGTCGGAATGGATTAAAATCACACCAGATTAAGTCGTCTAGACCACATCTCGATAGCGATTTGGGCTAAAGTATTTTTTTATAGAATCCCATAGTTTGAACGTCGTGAGCCTAAGTCACTCAGTCCTAAAATTGACGCTCTTGGGCGATCGTGGGGTAATTGAGCCTGCCTACTGAAAGTGTATTTGATCCTCTCACAGCCAGCCGTTCATGTTAAGGGAGAACAAAACTGGGTGTGAGAGATTATTCTGATCGGAATAGTCCAAGAAAGTTATTCCGAGATGTTAAACTAAGGCGTGGTCTCTGAGATATTTCTCCAAAGACTTTTGTTAACTAGATGTACAAATACATGGATAAGCATATTTTTAATTGCAATCCACGTTTTAAAGTAGACACACCTTCGATCTTCTCTTCTGTGGTTAAATGATCAGCGGGATCCCTTTAGGTTTGACACTTTAGGCTGTTCAAACAAGTCAGTCATATTGTGAAAAACTTAGCGAAACTACGTCAGTCTTGATAAATGAGTGACCGCCGGTATTTTAACTGGACATGCGAGTTTAACAAATTGGTAACAGACCGCACTGTCTTGAGTACCCGGATCGGGTTAGGAACCCAACTATTTGGACTTTCTTGATAGCAGGATTCCTGAATTTCGCGTTCAGAAATTGCGGAGCCCTCTTATCATGACAAAGAAAATTTTCGGTGATGACCAAATCGAAGGATTAGACTGAAAGCAATTCGTTGCTGAGATCATAATAAAAATCAAAACACTCGAAGTTTTCCAACGATTTAATCAAATAGCTACACTTTTTCCTATAAAAAGTTGAGCCACTTTAGAGTTTTCTGCCGTTCGTTCTATAATAGCCCCGTGCCGTTTATTTTCTTTTAAGGGGCATTAAGGCAATGTCAACTGTTCTTCACAATTGCTGCTGTGTTTCTTGCCGGCTTTGGAATTTAGTTTATCATTTGACTGCGTTGCTGATTAATCTCAGGCGCTGGTTACATATTGTGCCTATTTAATCATTCTAATAAGTGACCTCGGTTAGACAAATTTCGGAACACCTCC